GGAGAAAACCAGATGTGCTCTCTCCTGCATCACTGGGTAGACACTGTCAGAAAGGAAACATTCTGAAAGGTCCCAAGCAGAGTAATAATGTAACGAAAATAAATTTTTGGCTTGCTATTCAACTATATAAACCCACGGATTTATTTTTACCTTTTTCTTTCTGATGCTGCAGGTTAACCTATTTAACTATGGCATGGCCTGATTACTGACAACTTATTTCTTTCTGATAAAGAAAAACCTGAAGTTTCATCTTTATTAAACTTTGCAGATAACTATGTCTGGCAAAAAAAGGGGGGCACCCAAGTCAGCTGTTGGCTCAATTTAATGCTTAGTTTATTAATAAGCAATAAAAAAGACCAAGAGAAGTCAAAAAGACATAGGCAAAGTGCTTGTCCAGTCTTGTTAATGAACGTGAAGTGTGTCTAAAATCAGTATTTCACAAAGAAATTATGATAATTATTTAGTGTATTAGCAAGTCTTTGGACAGATTTACAGCTGAATTCAGTGAATTCAGTTAATATATTTAGTGTATAAAGTAAAACAGAATTTAACTACCTAAATTGCATCAATGAAAATTCAGTTCTTATTACTAGATAATGTCTGTTCCAGAGGAAGAGCTTTTTGTCTCTGCCTTCATTTATTCCTTGCACTGCCTTCTCTGACCGAGAGCTGTAAAATTAATATAACAGAATCAGTGTCAACCTCACACAAAATGCTTTCTAATGACATAGTATTTCAGGAGTCTCCGCACATTTTTTGAAGAATTAGGTCACAGTGGTAGTGATTTCCACAGTAACTGAAATGTTCTGTCCTATCAAAATAACCTGCAACTAATGCAGAATAAATCCATCACACCTAAGAACAAAACTTTATTCTGTCCTGCTTTGGTTTGAGACACACACATCTCCAGGAGACACAGTAATTAGTGCACACGAGGTCTAAGAGCATACTACGCTCTGCCTGTTGCCTCCCAAATGACACCAAATGAGCTTTCCCCTACCCCAGGCTTTTATACCAAACGGTCCTGTAGACAGGCACACTGTGGCCCTTCACTAAAGCCCTCCACATCCACCGTGGGTCCTACCAGCTGAGGTGGCCGACTGCTTTTTTAATTCTGAGCAACCCGAGAAACAAATTCAGATTCTTATTTGAAGGGACCATCCTACCCTTCTCTTTCTCCAGTAGCCACAGGCCGGTGCCTCCAGGGGGTTGGTTCCTGTCCCAGGGCACAAGCAATAAATAGCTTACCTTTTCCTTTTGCTCTAAATAAGACCCTACCCAAAGGAAGTCGCTACAGGGCAGCTTTTCTATCATCATTTTAGTGAATTACAGCTGCTATGCCAAATGCATCCATTCAGTGTAATGGTGGGATTGTGCTTCCAGGTTAAAACACAGGATGGGGCTTCTGGAAAGTAAGGACATTGAGATGCATAGGTAGGTCATAGCACAGACAGATGGCTGGAGAGATTGCTTGACAATAGGACAATGGACTCCTTTGATGGATGACAAAATTTCCTCCTCTAGAACTCATAATTATTTAAATATAGCCTTAAAAGATAAGGTGTCCCTAGAGGATCAATTAATTCAATGCCTACCTCTCTCCCTCCCCATAGTTTCCAAGATAGGGTAGGCTGAAGGTGGAGAGACACTTAAAAGGGGTATATCAGGAGGGCAATTTGTGTTCTTAAAAAGTCTAGTAAATTCTTCATTTTGCGATGGATTTCCTTCCCTCTTCTACTATTGCTGACTTCTCTAAAAGAGAAGAAAACAGAACAAAAATCCCCCCAAAAAAGCTACAGCATTAAATTGCTTAAACTCTCAGTAATGAGGAAGACCAACATTAAGATTTTCTATGCAGCCTTAATTACAAGCTCTTGTGCATATTCATTATGATGCCATTACTTCTTATGTAAATAAAAGCTGTATTTTGTACACAGATCTTCCCCTTTTTTTCTTTCAGCAACCTTGCAGAGAGTAGGAGAGAGTTATTTAAGGACTCAAAAGGAAGTCCACTGAGGGTTTCTTTCACCAGGTAAAGCAGCTCTGCAGTTGTTAACAACGAAGCAGTGCTGCTGCGATCCAGGATCCAGAACCTCTCCTGTCCTTGCCACAGAGTCCTACTGTTGCCTGAAGCAGATCATTATTAATCTTCCTAAAGGGTGATTGTGAAGTTATTACTTCTTGTCCTATTAGGAGCACAGGGAAGATCAGCCATGAATGTTTACAAGTCGCTTGGGAGAGTTTGCCGCCTTTATCCCCATCTGAGTACAGAGCCTGGATGATAGACAGTGGGCAAGACACACAAACATGATAAATAGCCAAAAAAGGAAAAAAGGCTGAACTTTCATCTCATGTCGTGTTTGTCATCCCTGAACACTGAATAAGGCAGGGTCTGAGGATAAACAGTATCCACTAATGTCATAAAACATTTTGTCAAAATGCAGACACAAAAGTTGTTGAATTAGCACAGGCTTTTCATAGCTTTGGCATCTCTGGAGTTGCAGCAAAGCTCTTGGAACACAGAAAATTCTGTGATGTGTGCTGAGCCAAATGCTCCTGCCACTGAAAGCAGCTTTGGTTTGTGTGCATTGTGCAAAGTGCCTGAAGCTGGCTGCAGAACAACAGTGGAAAAGTCTGTCTTTAAATGGCCGCTTTCTGCCTGTGGAATGGTAGCAAAACAGTTCCTGTGCCTTCAGTGACAGCTTCCTTGCTTTCCAAAGACTATCCTCCACCAAAATGCAAAGAGGCTGAGGAACACACTAGGGAGGGAGTAACTTTTGGGTTGTCACTGAACATGTACTTTTTAATTCATAGCATATTCTTGCTGTGGCTTAAAACTTAGCAGGAGTGGAAAGATAAATGTGAAGCAACCACAGATGACTTTCTGCAATTTCTGTCCAGGCAAAATAAAGAGTATATCCTATTTTGTATGTTAAACTTTTAATTTTTCTCAGTGTATGCAGCAAGAAAGAACAAACAACTTGTGTGAAAGTTTTCAGTTCCCCATTCTGATACTCTGTTCATTTGATGCAGTGCCATTTCTTACAATTAAGACAAAGAAACAATCTGATTTTCAGTGTAATAACACGTTTTTAATTTAGATTTCTACAAGCTTTTGTATCTGAACTGTTAGCAAATGTCTCAGTAAGTAAGAGCTAAACAAGACACTTAAGTGCTGTAGCATTTTAGAAACTTTTTAGTATGATCATATGGTTCTGGCAAACCAGTGCTGTATTCTAACTCCCCCTCTGACTGTAGAACTGAACTGTTTTTTCTTGATGCATAGTTACATAGAAGACATTTTCGTTGAGCAGTATGAGCCAATTTCTAGCTGATGTATTTTAATCCCTTTCATTACTTTTGACACCCATCTAGTGGACACAACACAGTATGACAGGATAAATTTCCTGTCACAACAGCCATATGCAAGTCTTGCACGTACTTGTAGTTATCTGGTGATGCAAACCACAGGCCCTCTCCCAGCCGATGAAACTACAATTTTATCTAATGGACTTTTACATTTTTAAATGAGTACTTCAGATGCATTCATTACAAATACATATTATGATGCTAACACTTATCCATGCTTAAAAAATCATGTCAAAGATCATCTATTCATCCTTCGTTCCTAAATGCTTTAGCAGTATTATTTAAATTCCAATTAGTATGGCAAATGAGCCCAGTAGTAATAAGCTAAGGTCTCATGCACACCTTTCCTACTATGCTGTAAAACCAAACCTGATGTTTGCTTTTAGAGACACAACCAACTAGGGAAACAAAAGCCATCTTCCACTTCTGGCTGGATAAAAGGTGCTCCATCCCATCAGATGGAGACATGATCTTGCTAATCCACACATTTTTTACCTCTGAGATTACATACCACAACACATTATGTCTAAAAACAGAGCCACATGCTCCAAAAAGACTCCACACAGTACCAAACTCAGCTGTTGGGCTGCTAAGCAGCACAGGTGGCCACAAGCATGGCCTCCCAGCACTGCTCGCCCTGCGCTCGTTTCCGATTGATTACAGACTCCTATTCAAGGTCTTTGCTTTGACTTTCAAAGCCCTTTGTGGAAACAGACTGTGTGAAAGAGTATCTTCTCCCTCCTTCTCTTTCTTTCTCTCCCCTCACACTTCTGCCTCTCATGATGGCAGTGCTCCCTAGAAATTATAAGCCTATTTACTAATCTTAATACCAAATACAATCATAGAATCATAGAATCGTAAAATTGTCTAGGTTGGAAAAGACCTTTAAGATCATCAAGTCCAACCATTAACCTAACCCTGCCATCCCACCACTAAACCCTGTCCGTAAGCACCTCTTCTATCCTTCTTTTAAATACCTCCAGGGGTAGTTAGAAGTGCCAGATCTAAACTGTGTAGTACAAAGACACAAATAGTCACAGAAGTTGCACTTCTTGGCAGTGAGCAAAGAACTCATTTCTTCCATCTCATTGTAAAATAGCAAATCTAATGCATACGAACATGCCCAAGCAGACACATACACCTTAATCTCAATCTAGCACTTTGTTTATTGTGATAAGACAAAATATGTTATTGAAATATTTGGATAGTGATGAAATATTAGAGTTGAGCACTTTATAACAAAAGAGCCCTCAGCTGCCACAACAGCGGGAGACAGGATAATGAGGGTCCAGCTCAGGAGAGATGAAAACAATGAAACATCGGGTTTCTTCAGGTATAGAGCTCACGGATACTCCACATGCAGAGAAGCATAAGGCTTCCTGTATTCCTAATAACGTTTTCTTTCTCTGCCAAATTTCTTTTCCTTCAGACTTGTTCTTTTTGGTTATCAGCAACTTTAAAGTATATTTCTCATGTGCCTTGTTTTTTGCCTTAGCAGTGGAATTGACCAGGTCTTTATTTTCCTGTTATTATTAAGAAGCAATTACCTAGTGATAAATTTATCAGAAGAGTGCTTATTACTTTCAAAATCATTATGTCAATGGCATAAATCTTCTCCTTTCTTTTTGCAGTTTCGACGTAGACAATGGTACGTCATCAGGACGAAGTCCCTTGGATCCCATGACAAGCCCTGGATCAGGGCTAATTCTTCAGGCAAATTTTGTCCACAGTCAACGTAGGGAGTCTTTCCTCTACCGGTCAGACAGTGACTATGACCTTTCTCCAAAGTCCATGTCCAGGAACTCCTCCATTGCTAGTGATATGTAAGTACATTACAAAATACTTTTCACCGATGTTTTGTCCTGTGTCTTAAGATTTTTCCAGTCACAAGAAATTTCTTTCAAGAATCAGAGACAGTAATCACTTACACTACTGAAGTCATGGATAATTGTTTGTTTATTTCTTTAATGAAGCTTGTACTTGTTTCTGCAGTTTTCTGAAAGCAAGGATATCATGCGGGTGTGCTTGATGTGTTTATGCACTTCATTAGCTTTGACAGAAAAATGAAGACAGTCGATACTGGTGTATCAAAACACTAAGGAGAACTCTGATTTCCTGGCTATTAAGTCCTTTTCAAAAGAAGTGATACAAACTCAATTTCTGCTTCTTAGTGTTCTTAAGAAAAAGGTGCCATTTATTGGCACCAGGTATTTTTAGGCTTTTAGAGAAAAGATTTACTAGCTGGCAGAATTTAATAAATTCAAGAGAGACAAAAATTATTTAGAATATCCATTTAACTAAATAGCAAAATTTTAACAAAAGAGCTTTGGGAAGTTATTCTATCCTCTCTCACTATTCTTCTGGGGTGTGTGTATTTTCTGCTAGTGGATCATACTTTTCAAGTATGTGTAGACCCTAGGTTGCATGGGTAGTGGAAGTCAGTTGCAAATCTCAGTTTACTTGTAAGACACTAAAATCATGTTAAGTGTTCTAGCTTCTAGTCACTTGTAAGTAGTTCTCCTGGTTTCGGCTGGGATAGAGTTAATTTTCTTCCTTGTGGTTTGCATAGTGCTGTGTTTTGGATTTAGTACAAGAAGAATGTTGATAACACACTGATGTTTTAGTTGTTGCTGGGTAGCGCTTAGACTGGCCAAGGACGTCTCAGCTCGCAGCTCTGCCAGGCGCACAAGAAGCTGCGGGGGAGGGGGTCACAAGTGGGACAGCTGACCCAAACTGACCAAAGGGCTATTCCAGACCATATGACGTCATGCTCAGCATATAAAACTGGGGGAAGAAGAAAGCGTGGATGTTCAGAGTGATGGCGTTTGTCTTCCCCAGTCACCGTTACGCGTGATGGAGCCCTGCTTCCCTGGGGATGGCTGAGCACCTGCCTGCCCATGGGAAGGAGTGACTGAACTCCTTGCTTTGCTTTGCTTGTGTGCGCAGCTTTTGCTTTACCCGTTAAACTGTCTTTACCTCAACCCATGAGCTTTCACACTTTTACCCTTTTGATTCTCTCCCCCACCCCACTGTGCAACCCCCACCCCCAACCCACCGAGCAAGCGGCTGTGTGGGGCTGAGTTGCCAACTAGGGTTAAACCATGACAGTAGTGGAAATTAAGAACAGTTAATTTTGTTTGTTTGTTTCAACTGCTCCAAATTTCACTGCCAAGTAGGTGTCTATGGTTTGATTATAAATCACTAAAATAAAGGACCAGGTTTGTAAGAGTCCCCTAGTGAATGAGGAAGTCTAAAGCATTAAAAATCCAGCATTAATAAAAACATTGCTTTTTAATGAGGCAAAACCCAATCAATATCCTCATTAAAGAATAACAGAGTCATATGCACAACAAAGGAAAAAGGTTTTCATAATTATGAGTGACATTTCACCTGATTCTTAACTTGACATCATTATAGTTGAACACTCCTATTTTAGGCTTGCATATCATTATTATAAATGTTAATTAGTCTATCTAATTATAGCTCTCTTCCTATGTAAGTGTCAAGATGAGAAAAATTCATGCTTTTACAGGGGGTTTGTGTAAGGTCCATACTTTAGTTAAGCCCTGTATGTTGAAGTACTTAGTAAGCTTTGCGCTCACTGTGACCGATTTTTGTTGAGACAAAATGAGCGAGAAAAAGACCAATCCATCTTGCCTTGTTGTAAGGAAGAACACATTTCACTTGCAAATAGTAACCCCCTTCCAGCAAATCTTCCTCTGACAGATAACCTTTCTTTTCGATGGACAAGAGTCAAGCTTTTAGTGTGGCAACTGTGCCAGGATACCATTGGAAAGACTTTTACATTCAGGGGGACAATCCAGGTCACTGTGTTGCTTAGATGAGTCATTTCCATTAAGAATTCAATTAGTGCTCCATCCTTGAACTCATAATCCACTTCTGCATTTCCTACAATTCTGGGTAATATTTCAGCACATGGCAGTAAATTGGATAAACAACTGAATTACTGAAACACTGAGCACACTTTTTCCTTTGGATATTTGTGTGTATTCTTCCTTTCAAAATTTTCTTAAAACACATCTACGTATAAAATTCGTGGGACCTCACATCTGATAGATTTTCACAGTCTCCTGTCAGGGCAGAGATGTTGTACTAAGAAGGTAAATAATCCTGCCTCTGTTTAGGATGGGAGCACATTAGGAAATGTAGAAGGCAAGTGGTTTTAACCGTTAATCATGTATCAGTAAGCCTAATTATAAGAAGCTTACTTATTTCATAGAAATGAAGTAAAAGAAAACCAAGGAATGAAAGAGCGAAAGTTTAAAAAGATAAAATAGTGAGAAAAAAAAGAAAAAAAATACCACAATGCTCTTTATATATGGGTTCAAGGAGAAACTGGATGTACATATTGAAAGGAAACCCATCGAAGATTATTAAAATAGAGAAACTACTGTGGTTCAGGACATTGCCAAACAAGGTGGAGGCTGGAAGAGCTGTTGGGAGAAGTAGCCACAAATTTTAGGTTACTCCCCAGTTATCTTATTTCTCTTTTGCATCTATCTACATGCTTAATTTTAAGTATTGCATGTTTTTTAAGCATGAGCAAACATATTACAAAACATATAAAACATTGAGGTAATGCAGATTAATTAATTGTACATAACAGTTTAACCTAGAAACCCTGGATTATTTAGTCCTTGAGTTCCCAACTTCAATATTTCACTTTGTAAAGCAAAATAGAAAGTAAAAGGCACACATCTTTTATTGGAAAGAATATAACATAAAGATTTCTGGCATTTCCATTACTCTCAAATAGCGTGCTTACAGTAATACATTCCACTTCAGTAGCAGCGGATGAAACAAAAACAAAACATCAAATTTTAGTCAAATATAGCATGTCATGATCAAAGACAGCCAGTGGATGGCAGTGCTAAAGTGCTGAATTCATCATTCTGTCATTTATTACTTGTGCTGCTGTAGTAGCTCTGAGCTTCAGCTGAGGAAGGGAACACAGTCATGGTCAGTTCTTTGCAAAGCCAAGATGAAATGACAGGCTCTGCCACAAATAACTTAAAGTCGAAGCAGAAGATGATAACCAAGAGACTAATATAGGCAGATACTATTCCCAGGAGAAGGTACAGGGTGATTTGCTATGCCCAAAGTAGTAAACCTCACAGAGCAACCAAAGGGAGTTTTGTTGAGTGAGTTGAGATGGAAAGTAACAGAAACAAGGGCAGAGAATGGGGAGGTGGAAAGGGTTTTTAGAATCAGAGAGACTAAAATTTACTTTAAAGTGAGGAGGGTGTTAGCTGAGGAAAAGAACAAAAGACAGGATGAGTGCAAGGCTGCTTAGGTGAGAGAATGTTAGTGGGACAAACGTGGGTGCAGTTATGGCACTGAAAGAGGCAGAAAAAGCAGCTGTATGGTAAGGAAGGAAAAACAAATAAAGAGGAGTGGGAGTCAGTAATGTATTTTTTTCAATCATGTCTTGGAGGAAATAGCATAGTCCTAGAGAGGAAGAAAAGCAGAACATGGAGATGATATGAGATGAGAAAAAGCCATTCAAGGCTGTGAAACGGAGAGGTAGGTGGTTTAGACAGGAAGATGCAACGTCCAAGGCAGAAGAGCACAGATGCGTTGTGAAGCCTGGCTAAGGGATTCCCAGCAGAGAGATGAGGATGTGCAACAGAAAGAGAAGTGAATGAGCAAGCCAGTGAGGATCAGTGAATCAACATGAGGAATGACAGGGCAGGATCTCTGATGACAGACAGGAAAGCAATTTTAAAAAGAAGGAGAGAAAAGAACAGAAAGTTGTGGGGGGGGGGTGTGTTGGCAGGGAAATCCCCAACAGCAAGTTGCTACACTGGGAAAAAAAGGAAACAGCAGTCAGCTGAAAGAGCAGAGAAGTCATCAGTGTTGTACTGGAAGAATTGTCAGATTTATCTTTGAAGGCATCAGCGAAGCAGGGAGCTCTGAATGTGGATGTCTTGCAGAGCTGGCCCGATTACTTAATACTCACCTGTTTGAACTGCTGTTGCCTATCACAGCTTGCAAATGCAGACAGAGGCAGCAGTGGTAATACTTTCTGTGTCTTTTTTGCTAAAGGATCACTGCTCTGATTAACAGGGCATGAGATCAAATTTGTAGAGAATCTCCATTTTAGCAAAACCCAAGTCTCTAACCAGGTTAAAAAACGCATTCTTCAGTGAAATCATTAGCACTCTCATGAACACTAGAAAGAAGCCAATAAGCAGTCCACCAGCTAGGGCAGAGCCCGTGTTTTAAGTGCCACTCTAAAGGTCAAAAAGCATGGGTAGTCCCCCTGTCATCCTGAAGAAGCGGACCAGAGTGGAGCAGAGAAGACCAGAGGACACTCTTGGTACAGAAGTCTGTCTGAGCTCTGCTATGTCTTCTGAATGCATCTAGGGGAAAAGGTATGTGACAATAAGCACTGTCTAAAGCCTACCCTTTTCCCATTTCCACAAGGTCACAGAACACAGCTCGGCAGCGACACCCTGGTCTTTCCAGGATGGGGCCAACTGAACCTCACTCAGTAAAGAAGTAGCTGGTATGGGGCATATTATGTGCTTCATTAGAGAGAGTCAGCACTGTTTCCTCGATCAGATGTAACATTAATATAAGGTCTAATTAGTATAATTACACAAAATTTGCTAATTTTTATTAAGCCTTGCTTCCATCTTCTAAGCACCAGAAGCCAGCCAGGGAACAGTGACCCATAAGGGTCATTGGCCTGGTGATCTCCTGAATGGCCAAATGGCCACCAGTACACCCATTCCCCAAGCTGCCCAGCCAGTTGCTATTCTGCGAATACCTTCTGTAGGTAGTAGCATCCCTCTGCTGCTCTC